GGCCCCTGATGAGCCTCGGGTGCACCTGGCCCGAGGAGGGCGAGCGTCGCGTTGCAGATGAACCGCCCGCTCCTTGCTTCTTCCAGCCGACTGAAAAACGTCGGCGTTAGTTTGCACTGCACTAGCGTTTAACTTTTTTTTTTTTTTTTTTTTTTTTTGGCTAAAAATGGAGCTTGACCTCTGAAACTTGCTGCCTGTTTTCCTTCCACTTGGAGGCACCTGCTCGCAGGGTTTATCACTTATAGCAGGCACTGCAGGCCTGACAGCGTGCGGCAGGGCATGTTTTCAGAGGTCTGAAGGGCTCTCTATTTCTGCTTTGAGCAGTGACCTTAGTAGGTCTCTTGTTTTCTGGTAAGTTTTGGTGTTGTTTGCTTTCCTGCAAACAGATGAAACACTGGGAGTAACTTGGGTTTGCTGTATACTTGATCTGTGTGGCTTTCACTCTTTCACAGTTACCTTCTTTTTGCTCGCTGGCTGATAGAGCTACTGGCCTTGTATCAAAACTTCAGAGAACTCAGCCTGCCAAACTGGGGTGCCTGTGCTTGAGTTTTTGGTTGTTTGAGGCCATTAAGTTGGCTTAAGTATGAGGGGGTTTGCTTTTTTCTCGGCTTTTACTAGATGTCTGTAAAGCACATGAAGCTCAATTTATTGATGCTCTACACTGGCCAGATGAAAAAAGGTGTATTTCTGCAGAATTACATCTACTTGTCAAGTTGGGTGATTAGTGCTTATATTTCTCTCTCTCCTTGCCTAGATCGAGCGATTGGAAGTCAGCAGCTTAGCGCAGACCTCTAGTGCAGTGGCCTCGAGCACTGATGGCAGCATCAATGCAGACTCTGTTGATGGGACCCCAGATCCTCAGCGTACGAAAGTGGCTATCACACACCTGCAACAGAAGATACTGAAGTTGACTGAGCAGATCAAAATCGAACAAACAGCCCGAGATGACAATGTGGCAGAGTACCTGAAACTGGCCAACAATGCAGACAAGCAACAGAGTGCACGCATTAAGCAAGTGTTTGAGAAGAAAAATCAAAAGTCAGCCCAGACCATCTTGCAGCTGCAGAAGAAACTAGAACATTACCATCGAAAGCTGCGAGAGATTGAACAGAATGGGATCCCTCGGCAGCCGAAGGATGTCTTCAGGGATATGCATCAGGGTTTGAAAGATGTTGGAGCAAAAGTCACTGGCTTCAGCGAGGGAGTAGTAGATAGTGTAAAAGGTGGACTTTCCAGTTTCTCCCAAGCCACACATTCAGCAGCAGGAGCTGTGGTTTCCAAACCCCGGGAGATTGCATCCCTCATAAGGAACAAGTTTGGGAGTGCAGACAACATTGCTAATCTGAAAGACTCCTTAGAAGAAGGCCAGGAAGATGGGACAGGAGGCAAGGCTCTAGGTGTTATTCAGAACTTTCAGTCAAGCCCAAAATATGGCAGTGAAGAGGATTGCTCCAGTGCCACATCAGGCTCAGTGGGAGCCAACAGCACAACAGGGGGCCCTGTGGGAGCTTCTAGCTCCAAAACAAACACTCTGGATATGCAGAGCTCAGGGTTTGATGCAATACTGCATGAGATTCAAGAAATTCGAGAGACACAGGCAAGACTGGAAGAATCATTTGAGGACCTTAAGGTTCGCTATCAGAGGGATTACTCCTTAATAATGCAGACTCTGCAGGAGGAGCGGTACAGGTACGTACTTTTATACTTTGTTTCAGAATTAAATACGGTGAGTTGCAGAGCACAAGAGTCCCAGATAGTACTACTCAGCAGGCTGTTCCCAGCAGCCTGGCTTAGATCGGAAGTTCTGCAGTCTTCTCATGATTTTGCTCTCCCAGCTTTGTCTTCTGTAAATGTCATTACCTCGCTGCTCATCTCCCTTTCTGTACAAGAAAGAAACAGCAAGGAAAAAGGTTATTTCTTAGTGTTTTCAAGATAAAAAGTCAAGCCAAAGAAATTTAGAAAGGTGTCCCAAAAGACCCGGAGTACATTGATGCAGTTACTATTATCCAGACAGGGCTTTGCCCTGCAAAAATCCAGCAAAGGTTTGTGTCTAGGCAAGAGACGGGACTACATGTGGACAGTATCCTGACCCTGCCTCCTCCAATAGTCAGCTCCATATCTATCAGAGAAAGAAATATATAGCTTTCTTAGGGTTCTCAAAAAAGACATGATCTTGCCCATGTGCCAAAACTAGGATATCCCCTTCCCTTTTCTGCTGAGCCCCACAGTGGCAGGATTCAATGAAATGAAGTTAAATTAAATGTCAGATACTGGCAGTGCTCTTGTCATGGAGGTCACGTGGCTGTGGAGGTGGGTAACCGATGTTTCCACTAGCCTTCCCCTTGCTGGAAGGAATGGAAAGGCAGAGAAGTTGCTGCATTACTGCCAGTCCCTGATCAGGTCACAGGGAAGAGGTGACGGTGGCTTCAGGGATGCAGCCTGACAGTATGGTATGGTAGCCAGCACCTCCCGTCACCCTGAGGCTACACCTGCCTCCCCACTGAGGAAAGCAACCCATGGAGAGGTGCTGAGGAAACGCTTTCCCTTTTCCTTCCATGCTGGGTGGGAGACAGCTCTCAACAGGCTGCCCCATGCCATTCAGCACAATGTCTTGCATCCTCCCTGTCACACACTGGGAGCAAGGGCTTGTCCCCAAGGTCCAGAGGGAAGAGTTACCAGCAACCTTCTGCAGCCATTCAGGACACTGCAGTCTAAATCAATGGTCTTCTTAAACTGTGCTTTTTTAACTTTTAAAACTATAAATAAATAACAAATGTAAGGGGCCCAACTCCTCGTTCTGATGGAGGACAGCAGGCTTTTGTAATGAGGTTGCTTATGGCCTCTGTCACTTCGGCCAGGCCGGGAGGCACGACCTGTGAGGCTCTGCAGAGCTGCTTGTTGGGTGTGGGGACAGGCTTTCTGAAGTAACCGTGTGCCACTTGCTGTGTTGGTTTGCATAGTATGACGTGGAGTTGCCCTACAGCTCCTTAGACATGCTGGTGCCAGATCATTGGAAAAATGTTTGAAAAGGCTTAGCCTGCTAGGATCTTGTAGAGACAGCAAGCTTTCTGTGTGCTTTGCAAAGCTTGGATAGGCAAAGCCAGACCAACGCCACTTTCTAATCCAGCTTTACAACAATCAGCGATTTGACTGGAACTGGTGCCCAGCACAGCAACTTTGGTTCCTAGTGCCTCATTGTCATGAATTCACATAACAACGTGGAATTTTATCTTCTGCTCCCCAGCAAAGAAGGGTCCTGTTGTCTGTTGCTGTGTAGGTGGTTGTTTCACACATACAGCAGCAGCTATTCATAGTGGAATGCTATATACAAGCACAGTACAGCTGAATGAGCAGCCTGAAAGTACAATAGGAGACCTTGAGGACTGATATACGTTGTCAGCTAAACTGTCTGGTTGTTCACTGAAACCATGTAGCAAGGTTCACATAGGTCCTCATACTAGTGCAATATGAAGTCATATTTGTCATGTCCCGCTAATCTTTACTGAGTGCTCCCTTGAGGTGAGCCCAGAGCCTAACCACTAACCAAGGCAGCCTAGAGTGAAAAGCTTCTGGGAGAGTCTGTATTTGGCTTATAAACGCTTAAAAAGATTGTAATTTAGACCTGCCATTTGGAATGTTGATGCAAATTAATTAAAGGCGTGACCTTTAAAGAGGACCAGTTAAACCACACTGAGTGCCCTTGTCTCTGCAGGCTTTCAGAGGTGAGCAGGTAACTGCACGATCTGCAAGGAGCTCATGGGTTAATCACAGTGAGGTTAATACTTTATTGTACAGATGTAGATTCTTCTTTGATAGCTTATGCATTTTAAAACATCATGAAGATAAAAGCCAACATTACCCTGAGAACTGGAAGGTTACATGATGTGTCCGAGGGCAGAGAGGATGCCGCTGCCTTGTCAGAGAGGGCTGGCACCTGTTCCTCTGACTGTTCCTCAGCTCTCTTCAGAAAAAAATGAAAAGATGGGAATGGACGTTGTGGTTTGAAGCTGGGACACTGGTGATTCAAATTAATCATAACTGGATTTAGAAGCTATAAATACCGCATAACTCTGCTCTATTTCTGGAAGCTTTCAAAAACGAGCACTGAGTTCAGTTAGAGCTTAAAAAAAGAAGTATTTTGGAGAAGCTTTTGGTCATAGGGCAACACTGAGTGTATTGTACCTGGAAGCTGGAACAAAGCATGTCCATTTCCTCTCTTGGATGTTCTGCTTTTCTGCAGGTTCTGATCTTTTCTCCTTGCATGTTCATGCAGTTTCTATTTATCAGCCATGGCTTGCTTTGCAGGTTTTCCATGACCTCCTCATCTCCTCCCTCGTTCTCCTTGCTTCCAGATCTTGCCTATCAATCGTGTAGCTGCCGGTTTGCTAACTGGCTCCAGGGCAGGGACTTGCTGGTGCAGTCACTCCAGTTCTCCCACCCTGGTGCTGCAGGGTGCCGGGGCTGGCCTGGCAGCCCCTCGGCAAGGCCAGGGCAGGCTGTGCTGCCCTGCCCGCCTGCTGGCAGCACGTGCCAGACCCGGAGCACCACGCCACTCCGCCAGGGCTGAGTCATCAAGGAAGGAAGATTCTGGCGGCGCCTTGGCCGTCATTGTGTTTCTTCCGCACTGGGAGCGGGCACTGAAATAGCCTGTTGCTTATCTCATTGGTTGGTGGTGGCTGTTTACTGATACAAGCAGGGACTTTCTGTCCTATTGAGACTGAAATAAAGTTCCTGCTTAGTATTTTCATCTTGTGTGTCCCTTTAGGAACCTGTTTGTACGCGGTGAAATCATGAGCTCACATAGTTGGAGTGTGGCCAGTCTGAGATTTTGGGTTTTTTCCCAAGCCCAGCATCCTTGGAAGGGGCATTTAGGTCTCCCACGCTTCTTTTGGGAGAAATCTGTCAGCTAGAATGCTAGACACTGCTGCTTTCATTTATTCGATTTTTGCTGTAGTCTAATTGTTGGACTTAAGTCTGTTCTCATTATTTTAAAATAGATCAAATGTGCTAACCTTTAAGGTCTAGAAGGGTTGAAGAGGCCTTTTGGGAGTGTGGCTTGGCAGTGAAGGCAGTGTGTTGGGTCACATAGGTCTTCACCCAGCCATAAAAGCACTAAAATGTCCCTACAAAGCTGTCATCTTCTGCCAGAGGAGGTTCAGAGCTCAAAGCACAGTGTGATGCAGGTGCCGAGAGCAGCTTGTGCTCCCTCTGGAATAAGCTCTGTGCCTCGTATATTGTCTAGGTAGAATACTTGCAGTATATTGCAGATAGATACTGCTTTTGGCTTTTAGTCTGCTGTTGAAAGCAGTGTGTTCAGTAGCATAAAAAAATGTATTTGGGTGACAAATAAAGACAGATGAGATTTTATATGACATAGCTATTAAAAAAAAAAGTCCATCTTGAGAAATGCTTGAAGAGAGGTATTAAACTCCATTCACAGTATACTGTGAAGATCTTTTAGCATCAGTTTGGGTCAGAGTTTCTTTACTCACCAGAGCACTTACTGAATGCAGATAAAATGTCTTTATCATCATGTCCCTCCCTTACATACACTGTATTAACCATGTATTTTGCAGCTATTACATTAAAATGCCTTAAAGCCCTTAAAAAAATGAGATGCTCATAATTGTGTGTCTTAGCCTTTTTCAGATCAGTTCCTTGATTCCCAAGCAGTGAGCCTCAGAAAATGTGTGGAAATCTAACATGGCTTTTTAAATGAAGTGTTACCATATCCCATACTTCAGCCGAGCACCCCAGCAGTATACTGGGTGTCTTCCATATGAACATCTCCGATGATGAGATACTTGTGATAGTTGTCACTGGTCTGTTATACAGAAAAGTTTCTGTCCTTGTTAGTCTAGAGGCTAGTTATTTTAAGGGTATGTTTCACACTTTAGTTAGTGAAAAAGTAATTCTTGGATTCTAATGAGGTATTTTCTGTATGTGAAATAAAGTGAGGTTTAATCATTCAGGGCACTGCTGTATTCACAGTCAAGTTTAGAGTGTGTTTTATAAACACTGGCACTCACACGTTAGAGAGGGAAGAGTGAGTATAATCTTAATCCTCTTTATAGGTATCCTATCCCTTTTACCTTTGTAATACCTCTGAGTTAAGTGTGAACCGTCCTTCAGTGGCAAAACCCTGGCTTTGGGCCCTGTAAGTCACATGAACCTCTCTTAGCTTTTCAAATTTGAACACCAGTACAAAACAGTAGGAAAAAAAAGAATTTTCTAAATTGTGGGTAATGGGACACGGGGTGAAAAGGAGATGACTGGAGGAAGCGTAATTTTAAAAAGTAAGTCTGGGCAGTTTGGTTTCTGTTGTTTGTTTGTTTGCTTGTTTTCTTTAAATAACCTAATTCCAGTAGTTGTCTAACATGCCAGTTTCTGAAAGTGCGGATGATTCTTGGGTGCAAACTGCAAAAGGTCTGGGATTGAGCAGGGAAATGAAGTGTGGTTCAGGAACAAGCCGGTAGTTCTGCATTCAGGGCAGGGAGGATTGCAGCTAACCCTTTTACTAATCATGTTATGCTTAAACTCTTTGTGGATTTGCAGCGTTTCCTTATGTTTCCTATAGATTGAGGTAGTTCTGAAGTTACTAAAATACAATTGTTTCTTGCTAGAGAATAGGATTTAAGCTGCCTGGCAACAGCTGTTTTATGAAGGGTGTTTATGTGGGAGGAGGTTAAAAGACATAATCATGATATTTTCAGAAATGCTTAAGTCCGTTTTTGTGTAATAAACCCACTGGAGAATTTTGTAATATATTAACAAACTGAATATATTTCAAGGAATTGATGCTGCCTTTGGGACTTAAAAGTGGGTTTATTTGTGATTTCTTTGTTATTGGCAAGTTGGTTTTTTTTTTAAGTTGGGTGGGAACAAATGGCAATATTAATTATCTGGGCTCCTTCTTCATTAGCTAGTCTTCACATGGCTATTCCCTTGTTTGCAGCTTGCTGTTCTTGGGAAACCAGTTCTCTTGTATGTCCTGCCTTGGTTGCGCAGTTATTGTGGCACCTTTCTGGGCTGAGCCATGTCAGCTCGTGGTTGTTGTACTCTCAATACTGGTTGACCACATGTGTTTTCATTGTTGGAAATTGTCATGCTATGTCTGACTCCTCCTTAGTTCAAAGCATTATTGCATTGGGAATGTAAATGAAAATTCTCTTCGGGCTTTTCAATTAAAAACAAAACACCAGGACTATTTTTAAAGCCTAGCTTCGGCCTACTGATTCTGAATATGTAGCTTGTGAAGCACTAAAGATCTTGGGGGGGGGCGGCGGGTGGGAAGGAAGCATTTTTTTTTCTTAGTTTCAGAACCTGTAATTAAATTCTTCATTCTTAATAAATACTGTTTATTAATTTTATGCATGTGCATGTGTGTGTATAATTTAAATTCACCTGGAGCCAGAGGGGAACTGAAATTAAAACAAAGAATTATCTCTTCTTGAATTCCTTAGAAACTTCTCGGTTATTAGTATCAAGGGTCAGATGATAAGAGCTATACGGTAAGCTTTTTCCATGCTGTTACATTGAGAAGACAGCCAGTGGAAATTAAGAGTGAAAAAACCCCGGTGGCCACAATAGCTGTACCCATACCTTAGTTACCATCAGAGCTGTCACTCGTAATGAACCAAGAATGAGAAACTAGCAGGAAGTGTGATGGCAGAGGGTGGTATGGATGGTGCCTAGCTCGCCACTCCCGACCCTTGAGCTGTGGCCTAGCTCTCTGTGTGCATTTACCTTTTGGAAGTAATACAAATACTTGCCTGATTTTAAAAGGGTATTGAAGCATGAATTGCTTGAAAATTTGGACTTGAAATTCCAAAAATGAAGTGCCACGTACAAATGCAAAGTATTCCTAATGTGTTTTGAAAATGCTAAAACAACATTATGGAGCTATCATTGAAGTCAATTTAAAACTCCCTCAATGAGAAACAATCCTGTATCTCTCAGAATTGTCATAACTCAGTTTTTTGGGCAGCCTTCTTTCTCAGGACTGCTCCCAGTCCATTCACCATAGCAAACTGAAAAATAAGCCTGCAGGTTAATGATTCATCTGCCCTCCTTCTAAATGTCATGTTCTTTTTACTAGTTAAGCTGAATCATTCATGAGAGATAAAGAAAAAAAGTGAAAGATGTTTATGTGACCTCACATGTAAAGATCACACAGAACCATCATGTTTTCTGAGGCATCGGTCACATGTAATTTCTGTGTCATTTTTATGCCCATTACTGTTCTGAGTGCAGATGAAAATGCTTAAGGGCTTATGGTATTAGAAAGAAATTGTTTTAAACAAAAGTTTGGGGAATAACTTACTCTATTCTAATTCTGTCCTTGGTTTCTCGCACCACTAGACAATTGTCATTTAATCGCTCTGTGTGGTTTTTCCCCAGGATAGAAACAGGATTAACACTGCCTTACCTGTTAGAAAGGATTTCCTTAATTCCCAGTGAGAGGGCCTTACATTGTAATGCGTGCTTTTGTAATGACTGAGATAGCCACACTAGTTTTCAGTAAAAAGCCTATGATGTTCATTGTTTGATTGTTACTGGTATAATTTTGCTGTCCGCTTCTCATTACATCTACTGTACCATGTATATCGTTTCTAGATGTGAAAGACTCGAAGAGCAGCTAAATGACCTGACTGAGCTCCACCAGAATGAGATCCTCAATTTAAAACAGGAGCTGGCCAGCATGGAGGAGAAGATTGCCTATCAGTCTTATGAGCGAGCCCGGGACATCCAGGTGGGTGACAGAAACAAGGACACTCAAGTCCTGTCTTCCCCCTGCTCTTTTTGTAACTTGCTCACTTTTGAAATACTTCTGTGATTCAATATTTGGTTTTAATCCATGTAGCTTTATGGCTAAACTGCGTATTGCCGAGTTCTGAAATGGCCTTTATTCCATCTCTGACCCTTGGGTGTCTCTCCAAGTAACTTCTTCTTTATAAAGAAGGGCTGTGCCCATGCACTAGCAGGCAGGTTCATCTGCAGAGGGAGCCTGCCACTTGGTCCGGAGCAGTTTTTAAAAAAGTTGTAGCAAAGTGGAAGCCTGTGTCCACTTTTTGTACAGGGTTTTGCAGGGTATTAGAAACTAATGGGTCATGACCTGAACTTTTTTTACAGTAGTGTTCCCAGTAAACTGACCCTAGGTCAGTGTTTCTGTGTCGCTGATTTTAGAGCAGTGATCACATGTATATAAGGAAAACTGGCTTTGTGTATCCACTGCATTCAATCAGGAAACAATTCTTTCTCTTGGCTTTGCCCAAATAAGGAGGTACTTCTAAAAGAAGCTTCTTTCAGTATATAAAAGACCAAAGCTATAGAAACAGATATTACGGAGTTGGAGGACCTTCCACAGGAAGACCTGGGAAATGATCTAAGCAGCTGCTAAACCTTGTAAAGAAAGGCCTATTCAGAAACAGATATATCATCCATTTTAAATACTCGGGCTAGTTTCAGCAGGCATCTCAGTTTTGATCGCTGATGTGAGATACTTATAGTGTGAGCAGAGAATTGTGTCTCAAAGTTCTCCCTCTTTCTTCCCCCTTGGGCGCTTCAGCCAGGTGATTTCCTCTGGAGACAGAGCAGGCTGCGCTTTTGGCACACTTACAGATCCAGCTGCAAGTCCAGTTGAGTCAATGTCCTGCCAGGTTGCTTGCTGTTAGAGGAGGCTGATCAGTTTTGCCCCAGACTTTCAGGGACCATAACTGAAGACAAGCCCTCATGTTTCATTGACCTCCACAGACATCATGCAATGACAGAGAAGTGTAACAGGTGACAATGACCTTTAAGTTAAGGTTAAAATAAATCAGTGTCTATGGACAGTGGTGCCACTGGCCTCCCAACAGAGTAAACAGGACACGCTCAGGTTTTGTTCTTCTCCCTAATTTAACACAGCAGGAAGAAGTAAGGTTGAAAACTTAAATTGAAGTGGGGATTTTTCAATAGCTTTTTTTAATCTTCACCTTATGATTCAGTGCTTTTAGTGTAAACTTGCAAACTGGAACAGACTGTTCCTCAGCATCGCTGGGGAAAAGGTAAGTTAAGTTTTCTTGCATGAAAAACTAGTTAAGAGCATGGGCTGATGTTTCAAAGGAACAGTGACAGAGTTCAATCTGTAGGCAAGGAGTCCTGGTTCCTATTTCAGTGATCAGTCTGAGAGATCTCCACTGCTGGTTGCTGCAGACTTCTAGATGTTACCTGAAGTTGGCTTTTAAGTCTGAGAAAAGTAACTCTTGAGGGAGAATTAATGGAAAAATTGTAACTTTGTATCTCCAAGAGCAGAAATGTCTCATTGCATTAATTGTCTTTAACCCTTCTCCTTATTCCTAGCCCACCTACTGCATGTCGCCAGTGTTGTACTGCAGGTTGGATTGGTCCACCTGAGGTTCAGCATAGTGAAAAGGTCTGAAAACAATCACCCCCAAGTCAATGGTGCTTTAGAGATGTTGTTTTGTACAGGATGGTCTTCTCCTTCTGCATACTTTTGCTTTGCCTCTTCCTAGAGGCAGATTCATAAATCTCATGCTGCTTATCCTTCTCCTAGACTGCGTGCTGCAGTCTGGAGGAGGAGATCTTCCTCCTGTGACGGCAGCTGTGCAGTCCCAGCCCGGGTGCCCCTCAAACCTTTCCCTGAGCTCATTCAGCTCACTAAGGAAGCCAAATGTGGCCAAGCCTTTTTCGTTAGTTATTTTTGTTGACTTAGTTTTCTGCCAGGTTGACTAGAGAATTGAATGGGCTTACAGAGGGTCAGATAAGCACAAGCCACTGCAAGGAAGGTGATGGAAGCGGGAGGCTCTGGAAATGCGCATCCCCGAAGAGGAAGAGGAGTGCAGGCTGGACACAGCACCTTTGTCCCCTCACTGGTCTCTTGAAACCAAAGCTCAAGTGAGCAGCTCAGTGGGTAGCCCCCTCCCCGCCCCATCTGGACAGAGGCTGTCTGATTGCTGAGGGCATCCTCCTCCCTCAGGGTCTGATGGCAGGGCAGGAAGGGTGGTAAGGTCTCAGGTGACCATTGCACCACCTGCAGGGACAGGCAGCTGACAGTGCAAAGTGGCAGCTGAAATATGTGTTTTAACAAAGCCTGGCTTCTACCCAGCCTGTCCTCTCTGAGCCTCTCTGGTGTAAATGAGATGATGTGGTGTGTTACAAATGGCAGTACCTAGTTAACGAGGGGCTCCTCACCCTCAATCACGTGAAATGGCACAGCTTCCTCTACTCCCGCTGCAGGGTATGACATTGGTGTAGTGACTCATGTCCTGCAGGAGGTGCGTAAGGCGTGAGGAGAGTGGCCCTGGTGTGGCCTAGTCGGTAAGAGCCATGGGCTGTGCACCACTGGGTGGACTTGTGGAGTGCTGGCAACTCAGCGGTGTGTTCTTGCCCACAGGAGGCACTGGAAGCATGCCAGACCCGCATCTCCAAGATGGAGCTGCAGCAGCAGCAGCAGCAAGTAGTGCAGCTGGAGGGGCTGGAGAATGCCACGGCCAGGAACCTGCTGGGGAAGTTCATCAACATCCTCCTGGCTGTCATGGCTGTCCTCCTTGTCTTCGTCTCCACTGTGGCCAACTGTGTTGTGCCCCTCATGAAGACTCGCAATAGGACGTTCAGCACTTTATTTATAGTGGTTTTCATTGCCTTTTTGTGGAAGCACTGGGATGCCATCACTGGCTACTTGGAACGGTTCTTGTCTCCCCCCAGATGATGGTGGCAGGAATTGGCTGCATTGCCCTCCTCCTGGCGCTCTCGGTGAGCAAGTGTGGCAAAGATTAGTCAGCAGTTACTCCGCTGAAGTTTTAAAGTGTCCGAGTGAATTTGTTTACATTTAGAATAACGTTTTTTCTCTGCGAGATGCATTGCAATAGTATTTTTTAGATTTTATTCAAGAACTCTTTTTGGCGAGAATCCTGGATAATTTTTATGTAGCATGGTTCTCTTTGGATGCAAATCTTAAGATTCTTTAAAGTGTACAAAAGAAATAAATAAAATACAGAAACTTGGAGCATACCAATGGGCAATTTAAATTGTGGCTTGAACTACTGTACTAAACCTGTCAGGAAGAAGAGAACGTGGTTAGCTTAAGATGAGCAAAGCTAAATCTAGTGCACAGCCTTGAATGATGGTACCACAGCAAACCTGTAACACTAAACTTTTACTGTGAAGTCTGCTCACATTCCATGTCCAAATGTATGCGTTCAGAGTGGTTTCTTTCCTTAACAAGAGAAAAACAGCGACGTGTGGATCTCTTCCCCAGCTCAGTGTCTGGGTTCACCATTTGTGCTAACCTGACTTGCAGTAACTTTCTATAAGGCTGGCTAACTTTGCTAAGCATATGAAGTGGAAGCCTCCTGCCATACACAGTAACTGCACAGTTGTGCTACAGTATTTTGAAGTAGTCCTTGAAATACTTTCTTTAAGCAGAAGCCCTTGGTCGCACTTTTAAGGTTTTTTTTGTATATGTATATTCACAGATTTAAAAAAAAAATCCGAACAGCATACTTGAAGAGTGTAATACTCAAACTCTCAGTGCTTCCTTATTGTTTCTAATAGGATTTTTTATTATAATTATTATTATTATTATTGGGGGTTTTTTTGGAAGGGGTTGGGAGGGTCATTACTTTTTTTTTTTCTTTTAAATAAAGAAGTGATGTTTTTAAATGAAGAAATGCGTGAATAATTGTGAGCCGTCTTGTCCTAAAACAGTTTTGAGGAGGGCAGAGAGTAGTTTCTAGTGCCGGCCTGTCTGGAGCGCAGCGCTATTCATATGCCATTTATCTGTCCTCCTGAGCATACAGATGCAGCATCATAAAAAACATCTATCTTCTCCACACATTTTTGTCATGCAGAGCTTTTTTTTCTTTCTCCAAATGTGAAGGAGAGTATGTTTATATTTCTCATTTCCATGTACTCTCTCATTCCTGGCCTCAGGATAAGAATAAGGAATTTCTCTTCATCCCTTCCTAGAGAAAAGACAGGTTCTTTTAAGGAAAGAAATACTGAATCAACAGTCCACTTAAAAGAATGGTTGTCTCAGAAATATCTCTGATTTAATTTTTAAACAAACCCCTAAAAAGTGAAACCAAAGTTTTCCTCCTGTCAGGCTCTGGTAAGATCATTTGTGTGTCTGTGTAGAGACCTGCTTTGCACACTGTATCTGTGTCGTGTGCCATAGAGAGCATCCTCTTCTTCAGACTTGGGAGCAAGTACTTGGTGTAGATACCTTTTTGAAGCTCTGAAGGAAATGTCAGCTTCAAATATAACTCTCAAGTCCTAGCAGCATGCAGTGGCTGGTGACCTGTTGTACTAGCAGGCAGGCTTCGTGTCCAAGGAATCTGTGTTCACTCTATGCTGTTTTTTTTAACTGGTGTTCCTTTTACTGTAACAAAGCCAAGATTCAACTTCCTTCTCTGTGAAATCTAAAAAGATTCCAGGATTCTCTTTCTAAACCATTTATGGTGTTCAGTTAGATCTTATTGTTTTCCTTCCTTCCAGGCTTAAGTTCCCTCTAGGAACCAAATGTTGCCCAAGTGACCTAAACCAGTTGAAATCATACATACACATATATGTAATATGTACATCATATATATACAGAAGCCTAGGACTTCATGCTGTGATGCAAATTCTGGGTTCTGAGAAATTCCCTCAAGCTAGGTTAACAGCCTTGAGGGTCTTCTGATTGCCAGCAGAGGCAAGCCCTCTGCCATCTAACCATCCTTCTTCCTTCAAAGTTTCTGTTTTCTTCCATAGTCACAGGAAACTCAGGTACCCCTCTCCCCAGAGATCTCCTTGTCACCATGTGCACTAATCTGCTCCTGTCCTACTTAAAACTTAAATTGCCAATTGCAGCTGACTCAAGCCAAAAATAATCATGCTTTCCACAGAGTTGCAGACAGCAAAGATTGCATAAACATTCCCTCCCTAGACCATGCTTCTAGCTCCAGCAAAACTCTATTCTGTTTACCAGCTTTCTCTGGCAGATTCAAATTACATGGTTAACGATCATCCTCCTATTATGTAGCTTTTGTCAGAAACAAAGGTGTGAATAACAGTAAGAACTGATTTGGCATATAATTGAAAAGCATTGCTACCTTTATTTCTGAAACTTTGCCTTTGCACCTCTGTTTTTCTCAGTTTTGATCACACTAGAATTGCTTATGATAGGTTTTTATGTGGTCAAAGCAGGAAGGAGTTGAAAGCCAACAGATCTGGACACTCAGTGCCACTCGTCCATAGTATTTGAAAGAAGTGTTTGTCCCTCTTCTTCTTTATATCCTAATTTCATTTTGTGTCTCAACTCTGTGTTGTCTTCAGTAAATACCATTTGCTAATCTGCCAGAAGGCGCAGGCTTAATAGAAACTTACCACCTCAAAAACATTTGGTGAAGGCCATGTACATTTGGTTTTGAAGAATGTCTGTCTGTCTCTCTCTCTCGACAGTTTATTCCATTCCAGAAAGTTGTCTGCAGTAATGCCATATATGATGCTGCATCCACTTTTCATATCCTAACACAACTGCAATGTGTTTTGCCTTTTGCATTAGCAGAACGTTTTGGGGTTTTCCTCCCTCTTCAATTTGAAGGTCTGTGATGATTTCTGATAGCTTAACAATGATTATATTGTTGGAAATGTGATTCTAGCTTTAAAGCTCCCTTTCCTTGTAAGTGGTTGTGTTTGCTTTCTTGATGAATTGTTTCTGGATGACACGTAGAAGACAGTTTCTGCTATGGATGTGAGTGTGTGTGTGAGTACCTTTTACTAGCCTTCCTTATGGATGTAAACTTTTTAGTGACCATCTCTGAGTTGCAGAATGTTTCCCAAAACATTTCATATTCAGAGTTGAAACAATTCTGAAATTGCTTAGATATTTTTAGCACATATCAGCTTGGCATGTAAAAAAGAAAGAATATAATGGACTGTGTTAGTCAAAAAGCAGCAGCTCTTCATTGAAATTCTATGGCTCAAATGAAGTTCATCTGTTTCCCCCATTTGCTTTCTCAATGTAAAAAAGAAAGAAAATCTTGAAGCAAAAAAATTTACCATTTTAAGTTTTATAAAGTTCTCTTTTCTCTCAGCCTCATTAGTTTAGCTTAATGATACTGAGCATGCTCACAGCAATTATTTCATTGGTTTATTCCAATCCCATGAGTTCTTAGGGTCTGATGAGCTTAAATGTTGAGTTCTATACACGTTGCACTGGGACAGAAAAGTACTGTCTTTCAGCTTTGAAAATACGCATTTTTTTAATTAAAAAAGCAGCATTAAAACAAAAGAAGCCAAGCTACAAAGGGGTTCAAGATTCGGTAGTTTTGCCAGTTTTTAAGTGAATTCTGAATGTGGCTAAAGAGTAAAAACCCTGTGTGTCTGTGTTGTGTATGCCAGGTGGTATAGTAGTAGGCAATTGACTTAGCTGTAAGTGTGTTTTAAAAGTGTAAAAAAAAATAAACAGAAGAACTCACTTGCACGGGTTGAAAAGTACAGAAATGACACTTGTGAACGTAACACTGTAGTTTATAGATCTTAAGCTGCTAATTGTTGAGAGAGATTTACATTTGTCTTGTCTGATTGTCACAGATTTATCTGTGACACTTTTACTGTATATAAAAAACTTTAAATAAAGACCTCAGCTATTAACACCGGCCTAATTTGGATGTTTCCAAAGGGAGCAGGAGGAGGGGGAGTTGGTGAGGAAGAAAGAGAGGGGTGTGTTAAAACTGTCATGAGCCCTAAGAGCTTAAAATCTGAGCAAGTTCTCCATAGATGCAGTCATCAGACTTCATCCTAATCAGCCATACACCACCTGGGCATGGCGAGAATAAATTGGCTGCATTGTTTGGTCTCTCCGGGCAGAGAAGAAGGAAGAGTAGCATTGCATTCTTCCTTATCTGTTTCTTTCCAGTCCACCTGGCATCTGGGACAGCCTCTGGAGGGTCACCGCCATTCCTGCAGATGCCTGACCTGTTTGTGTGGCTCTCCCATCACGGCGTTTCTCTACCCTCCTTACCTTCAGTGCTGTAAGCCTCAATTTGGAGGTGGATACAATTAGATGAGATGACATGCCCAAGGGATGTCTGTCTTTGAAGAACCTGTATTGGTCCTGTATTTTCCACCTCTCAGCAGGTCTGTAATCTGGACTGCCCTGGTTGAGAACGGGTGGTGGCTGGCTCTTGCTTCTTTGGACGTTTTCCTTACTGGGATTGCAGATCATCTCTGTGCTGAGCTGCATATGCAAAGCAAGGTGCAGTTCTAGCCTCACCTGTATTTCTCATGTGGATCCTGTGATGGAGCAGCTCCAGGCCCAAGCTCAGCTTCAAGGAAGAATTCAGCTGGTAGGACAGCATTCACTAACCGAAAGCCCACTCCCTCAGAGGAAAGGCTCAGGGGACCTGTATGATGTTGGTTGTGCCACCACTTTAAACATAAGTATTTTGTCTACCACATGTCATAAAAGAATTTCTGAACTCTTTAGTATTTGTACAAGCTGGAAGTGAGCAGATTCCTCACTGACATGGAGAAAACACTCGTTCCTCTTGTTTTTTGGTCATGTGGCTTCAAGAACACAGAACCAAGAAGGGAATGGCAACAACGTTTTTAAGGGGAAAGGGACCAAGTCATTTTCACAAAAAGATGAAAGTGCTATAAAACCAGCAAGAGATCAAAAAGCAAAAGGGGCTGTTTGCAGTGATTTTTCTCTCCATAGTCTCCCCACAACCAGAATGCAAATTTCAGCAGACGATAGATGAAGCCAGTGCATGGGGCTGCTTTTGCTAGAGCTGTCTGGCTTAAGATAGGACATGGGTGCTGCTTGTGAAGTTCAGTGTTTCTGAATTCTTTAGGGGTGGTCACCTGATAGGTGCTGGTTGGATTCAGTATGGTTGTTGAACGTGGTTCAGGATCAACAGGGGGGCATGATGACCCGACGGTGAAAGCAGTGGCCGCCTACTCCCACATCAACAGTTTTAATCCCATAATTTAGAGGATTAGGA